TTCACTCTCTGCTGGGGCTGTGCCACTTTCCTCTGTGGTTTCTGCAGCCAATTGGCCATTTCCTCAGTGGCAAGGCAGGGGAAGGGGGATGGAACCCAGGCCCACCCACTCTCCATGTCCCAGCACTAGGACTCTGTAGAATTGATGGTGTGTCCTCTCCAACATCTTGGTACTTTTCCATAGGCCATTTCCCTGTGGCACCCAGCACTCTCTGGCTATGTCTACACTGACAGCTTCTTGCGCAAGTGTTCTTGTGCAAGAAGTCTGTGGTCGCTTTCTTGCGCAACTGCCATGTGTGAACTGTGTTTTTGCACAAGAGCTCCCATGGCAGGGTGGACGCTCTCTTGCGCAAGAAAGCTCTGATGGCCATTTTAGCCATAGGGCTTTCTTGGAAAGAAATCCCTGCCGAGCATCCACACTGCCTTCTTGCACAAGAGGGCTTACACCTGTTAAAAAAAGAGCGTAGATCTTGTGCAAGGATCCGTCTCTTACCATGCCGTACTGTAAATTTACTAGCGCAAGAGCGGGTGGGTAGTGTGGACACTCTGCAGATTCTTGCGCAAGAACAGCCGTACTTGCACAAGAAGCCACGAGTGTAGATACAGCCTCTTTGTCCTGCCTCAGGACTCCAGCCTGAAGATCTCTGCAGCCCACCTAAGAACTCCCCAGGTCTCTGTCTGCAGCACTGTTCTGTCTGGGGTGCTTGCTGCCCTCAAGGCAGCCAGTCCCCCTCCCTCCTCTAGCTTTAGGGAGTAACTGAAACTGCTTTGCCCTGCAGCCTTCTTATATGGGCCAACCCGGCCCTTATTGGCTATTCCTTGCAACTGATTATCTGATTGTCTGCCTCTTGCACAGCCTCTCAATAGGTCTAGTAACTCCTTAGAGCCCAGTGTATGGAAGATGCCCCATCACAGGCTCAAAGAAAATATATGGCAAATATCTGTCCTTCCTTATTGAGATAGGTGCCAAATCTTTTGGTGTTTGGAAAAAGTTCAAAATCCAATTGCCCTTAAGTCTTCCTTACTGCAACTGTTGCTTTTTCTTCTCAATTTAAACTGCATTTTCCTCAACAAAATCTGATTTCATTGCTTCTGGCTGCCTTAACTCAGCACAGGCAAACTGGCTTTGCACAGATGCTGAGGCAAAAGGTGGGGGTACAAAGTGAGCTTTAAGCCATTAATTCCTCTCTCTTTCTCATTTTCTCTTCCAGTTCACATTTCAGTCTGGTGGCATTAAAAGGGCATTCTTTGATCAGCAGGGAGAAGAAAAGCAAGATACCAAAACTAAACACAGACAGCCTTATATGTAATGGTTGGTGTGGAATTAGATGTATACTGTGGCACTATTTCATCATTGATGTGTTTTGTCCAGTTTGCAGGATACAGAGTAGTTGGATAAATAATCTTGGTAGCAGATTTCACCATAACACTGCTTTATTTCTTAGAATTCAGAATGATAACTTACAAGAACCCCAAATCAGAGAGAGAAAAATCAGGCTACTCCCTAAGGGTATGTCTCTACTATAGCCGGGAGATGGGATTGCAACAGGTGTAGAGATACTCAACCTAGATACTCTTGCTGTGGCTAAAGCAATGCTAGCTTGAGTCACACTACCAGTGAAGCTGCAACCAAATGGATGGCTGCACAAGCTAGTTGCTCTCATCCCGAACCTGGCTGCACACTCAAGTAGCTGTTACTCATGCTGCCATGATTTCAGTGCAGTTAGTTGAGCTAGCTTTGATTGATGCTTGGGTATGCCTATACATTCTGCAATCAGAGTTGCCCATTGCAGTGTAGACAGATCTTAAGGCAGAGACACAGAACTTACTCCACCTTGCTCTAAGCCAGGGCCGGATTAAAGGGGGGGGGGGAGATCACAGCCGGAGGATTCTCTGCATCTTGGGGTCTTCAAACTATTTGAAGGCTTCAATATCTGAGATATAGGTGAGAGGATTATTCTAGAAGGGGGTAGGTGAGATTCTGTGGCCTGCACTGTGCGGGGGGTTAGACTAGATGATCATAATGGTCCCTTCTGACCTTAAAGTCTATGAGTCAGGCAGCTGCCCTGGGTGGCAACCTATGGGGGGCACTGATTGAAGTGGTAAGGGGTGCCATGCGCCCAGGCGCGCAACGCCCCTTACCACTTCGATCGGGCGCCCCCTATAGACGGCTGCTGCCCAGGGCAAAAGAATGGCTCAGGCCGGCCCTGCTCTAAGCTGACTCTTTCTAGTACTGACAGAACAGAATCTGCTTGCATGCATTGCTACAGAACTCCCTAGCTTGCAAGCAGGACTTGGAACCCCTTTCCCACATACACTGTTAAAGTGCTAATTTGCAATTTCGATACAGTCCTGAATTTACTACATATTTAATGCTCAAAATTAGGGCTGTTAATTGCGGTTAACTTGCTTGATCAACGTGAACAAAATTAACTAGATTTTAAAGATTAGTTGCAATTAATTGCAGTTTAAAATTGCACTGTTAAATAATATGGAACCAATTTAAACGTATTTCCACATTTTTATATATATTAATTTCAATTACAACACAGAATACAGTGTTCACTTATTTTTTATTACATAAATAATACTGTAAAAAGATAACCAAAGGTTTTCAATTCACCTTATACAAGTACAGGAGAGTAATCTCTATCATGAAAGTGTAATTTACAAATGTAGAGGTTTTTTACATAATTTCACTCAAAATCAAAACAATGTAACACTTCAATGCCTGTAAGTCCATTCAGTCTTACATTTTGTTCAGCCAATTGCTACATTAAACAAGTTTGTTTATATTTATGGGAGATGCTGCTTCCCACTTCTTATTTACAATCACCTGAAAGTTAAAACAGGCATTCACATGGCACTTTTGTAGCCAGTGTTGTAAAGTATGTCCATGACCAATATGCCAAGCATTCATATGCCCCTCCCAACCATCATTCCAAATGACACATGTTCATGCTGATGATACTCATTAAAATAATAATGCTTTATTTAAATTTGTGTCTATACTCTTGTTTCTCTTTTTACAGTGCAAATATTTGTAATAAAAATAATATAAAATGAGCATTATATACTTTGTATTCTGTGCTGTAATTGAAATCAATCTATTTGAAAATGTTGGAAAAAATAAAAAAATATTTAAATAAATATTATTGTTTATCAGTGTGAATAAAACTAATTAATCACTACTATTTTCTCTCATGATTTTTAATTTTATTAATCATTTCACAGCCCTATTCAAATGTAACAACTGACCTCTCTAATAATAAAATAATAATCATAATAATACTTCACATTTCTTTACAATTTTTTCACCATAGGATCTCTAAGCACTTTATGTTTATGAATTAAGTTCCTCAGGGGGATTCATAGGCTAAGTATTATCCTCATTTTATAGACGTCATCAAGAAAAACCTAAGAAAGGAGGTTAGTTTTGAACCTATATATTTTGTGGGGAAAAGTCAGTCTTTTGTGAAGGAAAACCAGCAACTCATCTGCATAAAGGCCTAAGGCCCATCTATAAAATTTATAGCTCAAAGGAATACCTGTGTAGCAACAACTTCTCCAGTCCTTTGCACTCTCAAATTTCCTGTGTACTTGTTTGCAGGAAGACACTGCCTTTTGGGTATGAATCCCTCCTCTATGCCTCTCCCAATCTGACTCTCTCAGCGTCCCCTAAACAAGGAAACCATATGGATTCCTCTGCCAGGGGAGCTCCACAGCTGTGCAGGAGGGACTGGTTTGTCTCCAGAAGACTAAGGCAAAATTTCAAATTTGGATGCTGAAACTAAAGCATTTAAATCCAAATTTAGTCACCTAAATAAGCGGCCTGCTTTTCAGATGTGTTGAGTAACCTTTAGTTGAGTGGGAGCTGGCAGTGCTTCTCAAAG